GAGAAGAGACCTTTGCTCAGCAGTGGGCACTTATAGGCTGATTATGATGATGATGGTGAGAATTACAAAACTGTAACTACGCGACACTGTCTCGTATGGGGTCGCTGCATAATGCTGAGCGAGGGCCATTTCGCCTGCTTGGACGCAAATTTTTCTCATACCTACCTCTACCTTTGTTATATTGTTTTACTTTATGTATTTTTATTTTTACCTTTATTTTTATTATCTTGTTCGTTTTGTGTCTTTTATGCGTCCCAGGCGCGAATAAATACTTTGATTTGATTTGATACGATTGACGACGTTTTAAATGTACTACATTTCAGTTCGTTCGAAATGTTGCTGTATTTTTTACAATAAATGTATACTACATGTGTATTACTTTTAATAAGTTGGGAAAACTTTACAGATGTCTATTAAAAAACTAATGATAATATTTTCAACGAATGATTTTTCAAATACAATAACTATTGGTGATGGCCAGAGTTTGTTGAACTGTGGTGGCCATTTTTATTTATTTAGGTGTCTTTATTGAAATTATGATTGCTTTCAAAGTAGTTTTTATTGTATTCTGTACAGTATTGTGTTGCTTATTATGTGTTTTTAAATTTAATGTATTGTATTTAGAATTAAATATGTTAAAATTAGGCTTTCTGTTATGATTAAGGTTACAGATTTGAACATTAAGTCGGGATTTTAGTGGGAATTTTCCTTTTAGTATTTCGTGTAACAATATATCAGCGTTTTCATGTTTGGTTGCAAATTTAATTCAGCAATGACATCTTTCCTTAGCCGTTACTGTTTTTTTATTATTTCGAAGTTAGTTTATGAAAAACTAGCTACTCTCACGCGGTTTCACTCGCTGCTCGATTCCATATTCCATTTGCTCGTAGCGTGAAGTTTTATAGCCTATAGCACTCAGGAACATTGTAGCTATCTATCGGTGAAAGAATTTTTCCAATCTAACCAGCAGCTCCAAAGATTACTACATACAAACTTACAAATTTTACCTCTTTATAATATTAGTATAGACTAATAATTTATTTGATACCATAACAGACGTTAATAGCGTGACACGATTCTACTCTTTATCGTAATTGTTTTCATCCCCGGAGGCTGCACATAATACTACAGGTACCAACTTATTAACAGTGTCTGTATCCTGGTAACACTTTGGCTTGGGAATCGAACCTGAGACTCGGGAGTCACACTTGCTTGCTTCTACCAACGACTAACTAGGAAGATCACCGGATGACTTCTGCTATCCTGTAAGGCGTGAGGTGGAGTGTCAGATTCTTACCGACTAAAACCCACCTCGTTCCTTCTCCTGCTTTAAGCTGGGCCACGGTATTTCATTGTTCTTGGACCAGCAACCCCGTCTGGATATCGGCTGTGGACTGTTGGGTTTTTGAAGCCAACATGTATCTATGTATGTTAACGCATCCACTACACAGGAGAAAATCTATTTTTTATTGGCGATAGGACGGTAATCCTGCAGAAGCATTATCTAATAGTAAGCCGCCCATGGCCACCCGAAACAACAGAGGAGCTACAAGTGCGTATTGGGGAAGAGAAGAATTGAGCTTCCGGTAACCTCACTCACACGGCGAAACACAACGCTGTGGTGGTTTCACGCCGGTTTTCAGCGAGTCCGTGGTATCTTAGTGTTTAGAGTTAGGTTTTTGTACAAAACCGAAGCAGTCACGTTTTTTTTTTGTTTTTGTTATAACTTGTATTATCAATGCACACGCCAACAGTGATAATACACTATAATTAGATGTTATTACAAATTCACACGATACTTCTTGTGGGGTATATCTTGATATCGTGAACTTTATTTTGTTTTTAATTTGTGATAGATACTGATTGTGGCTTGCACACGTTTTTTTTTAACTTAGGTATAGATGATAATATTAATTGTATTATTTTGTCGTACATCGAATGTCTAGTTCCGTCATGTTGTCATAAGTATTATGACTGAACCAGTAATCAGCAGTGTGCATAATTTTAGATGGTTTTTTTTATGTCGTAGGACAGCGAACGAGCAGACGGATTATCTTCTGCACCGCCAATGGCCACCTGCAATAATGGAGGAGTTACGAGTACGTTGCCGACTGGATTAAGGATTTGGAGATTTTGAGATTGAGTAGAGATTAAGGGAGAGAAAGGATTATGTCTTCGGTACCCTCACTCACACGGTGAGGCCCGACGTTGCGGTTGTTTCATGTCGGTTTTCTATGAAGCCGTGGTGTCACTCCAGTCGAGCCGACCCATTCGTGCCGAAGCATAGTTCTCCCACACTTAATGGGTCGAGTGGTTGTTGTAGTTTTAATTTCGATTCCCTACTACTCTCGTCGCGTGTAAGGGTTGTCTAAGGAACTACACGTTTGACAGAAGCAGGGTAGAACCACACACATCCCCCATCATCGACCTATAAGTGTGCACTGCTTGCTCAGCAAATACCTCATTCACAGTTTTTTTAATAATTATGTTCGTTTCTTGACTCTATTTTTAGGTTCCCTGTACCGTGGGTGCATCAACAAACATGAAATTCACATTCACAAACCATCCAGACCCGAGACAAATATTTAAAGATCACACAAGTGTTGTTCCGTCCGGGAATCGAACCCGCGCCAACTTTGCAGTCAAACATGGACAAGGTTTGAGCATTAACCACCACGCTTGCTCGAGGCGGATTGGCGATTTCAAACTTATAATTAGAAAGTAATAATTCAGGTTTCCTCACGATGTTTTCCTTGATCGTTTGTCAGTGGTCTCTAAATACACTTAGATAGTAGGTACATGTAACTCGGAAAAAGTCACATTGTTAAGTTTTAGGCCTATCCTTCGGGATACCATGACTGCGTAGTAGGGATAGGAGCGCTATCTTATATACCTAGATAACTTTTTTAACTGGGTGTTGATCCGTTCAGGAGGAGGAGTTCACCAGGTAAGCAAGGAGATTATTGCTAAGCATGTGTTGTGTAGTGTTGAAGAGGCTTATGGTTTTAGGCTTATCAGCAAAAGCTTGTTGTGCCCAGCAAAACGTTACATAGTGTGTACGCTAGGAGAGACAGAGGATTGTCTCACGGGTAAGTAGTTGTAGAGATCATAAAATATACTATAGTTAATAAAAATCAAAAAACTATTGGACACAAAGTATCGCCATGCTCACAAATTATTTCTGAGACTGTCAACTCGTAAACTACCATCACCCCTCTTCTCTATGAAGTGGGCGAAAAGTGAACATTTTCAATTTTATTTCGATATTTTATTTTATTTATTTCCTAATTTAATTTAATTTCAAAATATATTTGAACTTTATAATTTCATATGTTGCTTTTATTATTTGTAATGTAAGTTAATTTTATTATTTCGTAATTTGCTGTGCCCGACAGGGTCCATAATGATCTTAATACTGATACACATATAATAACACCTAATGTAACATTATGGAATGCAATAAACATTTGAATTTGAATTTGAATTTGAATTTGAATTTATTTTCGTTACCTAACTGAATACGATTAGGTACACAAATCACCTGAAGCAGCGGCCACTTCACGATCACGGCCAATGATATCTACGCCTCTAGATTATTAGTGATTGAGTTCCCGGCGTTTTGGGGTTAGGGATTTGAGGATTGAGGCATATGGTATTTAGGGAGGAGGATTGGACCTCTGATAGCCTCACTTACCTACTTGTTTTTTGATGGTGAGTTATCAGTGTTAGTAATCGACTATTTGTGCCGCAGCATACTTTACTCCGTTTCATCATTTGAAAAGGAACTATCAAGAAGGAGGCGGATCGTGAGAGTAGTCTATCCTCCTTACACCGCGGATTGAGTGATGATCTTCAGCCGTACCGTAACTCGCCGACCGACTGGAACAGGACCAGAGAACACGGCGCGTAGCGACCGCGCGCGCCTCACAGACCCACACCACCACCGACCGGGCCCTACAAGGCCAATGTTCAGCCGGGGTTGCTGAGCAAGCGGAATCACGGCCGTATCACGGCCTCGGCCTAGAGCAAGAGAAGGGACGAGGGGATATTTTGTCAATTAAAGTCTGACACTCCACCCCGTCCCACCCTAGGCAGAAGAATTTGATAATTTTCCGCTGACAAAAACATTGGTTGTTACTGATTTCGCAAGTGAGGGCAGTGTAGATGAGATAATTTTTGGTAAGTTAGGTACTCGTAATTTGTATCATTATTACAATTTTGAAATTCTCAGTCAATTTAGCCGATATCACATTGCTATTACAACTAAGTGGTTTCAAGAAAAAAAAAACAAAACAATTTAAAAAACAACTTTATTTCTTGTTCTTTAAAAGCATTTAACATCATAATAATAAATATAGGTACCTAAATGAATGTGAAGTAAAATTAAATTTTGGAATACATAGGCATAAAAACAAAATTTATTGACTCTTGGCTAAAATAATTTAAAACAGGAGTGAGTTCGTTGTTTTTGGTCCTAATTGGCATTAGATGGGTTTATTGATATCGATACCTACGAATTAACATTTGACTGGACAGTTTTACCAAACACTTTTGCATTGTGTAATCACAATCGTGTAAGATACATTTTATTATTACGTGGAATTACTAACTGGGAAAAGTTTAATAACTTTCACGTCACAACTCTTAGATATTTTATTCATAAGCATCGCGCACTTCGCGTCAAAGATCACCTGAGTAATAATAGTATTTAAAGAAATATTTGGTTAATATATAATACTAGATATAAAAAAGTTAATATCTAACAAATGCATGAATTAACAAAAAAACAAACAGGACGAGGCTATACACACATATCGTGGAAATATCAAAATCGAATTAAGAGAATAGAAAGGACAAAATCAATCCACTTGACATAAGTTTTAACGGATCACTTGATTGTAAGACATGGCCCATGGATACCGTCCATGTTCAGCTGAGTGTTCCAACCTCAATACTGGATTGCTGATGTAAGAAAGAGGCAGATTGATCCAGCAGTAACTTCACTATGGTTGTGTCACGCCGGATTCATGTGAGGACGTGGCGTCAAAAAGTTTGACAAAAGTCAACATCAAACCCATACACTGTTTCTTCTCTGCACTTAATGCTATAAAGCTCAAAAAGGGTGATTTCAAATGACAGTTTTGCATTGAGACATTGCATTATGCTATTATTCTTTCCTTGTGTTTGCAATGCGTTCCGCAGTGTTCTCGCCTCGTCCTTAACTCTTACTAATTCTATTTCCTTCTTCTAAATTCTACAGAGAGTGGCACAGCAGGAAGGTAGAAGAGTCCTTTCTTCTCTATTGGTATATCGTTTGGTAGTGGGAACTTGTCCATTGGAAATATTTCAAAGTTTAATACGACGGCCGCCAGCGCGTACCTAACTGTGTTCATGCCAATACGTTTACCTGTAAATGAAGAAAAAAATAATTTTATTTTGTTGTTTTGCTTAGTTGTTTATTCTTCTATATTGTCCTGTTCATCAAATGATTAAACAAGTGATGTCTTATTAAAATCAAAGTCAAAGTCAAAAGTTAAAGTCATTTCATCATAACTAAAACATAAGTTGATACTTTTGAAATGTCAAAATCATGCATGAGGGTGGGGGTTCGAAACCTGGCAAGTACCAATGTGACTTTTTCCGAATTATATGTACTTTCTATGATTATTTAGACACCACTGACATACAGCGAAAGTAAACATCGTGAGGAAACCTGGACTCATAATCTAATTATAAGTTTGAAATCGCCAACCCGCTTTGAGCAAGCGTGGTGATTAATGCCCTAACCTTCTCCGTAAAGAGGTCTTTGCTCAGCAGTGGGCACTTATAGGCTGATGATGATGATAGTTGCGTAATTCAATATTGTTTATTTAAGTAACAGTATTGGCCTGGACTACTCGTATGCTTATTTATATTCATGTAAGCCTTTGACTGCCGAAACAAAAGTATCGAAGTCATATGACTAAAAAACCAAACCAAACCTCCATAGATATGGTAAGTGTTAAAATATTTGTTTAAATCAGGTGAAACAAAATCAATCGTTACAAAAACCAAATGACTGCAGACCAATTTTATTCAAATTTATTCCAGTACAATATCAATTAAGTAAATCATATTTTCAAATTAATTCCCTCAATGTCTCTCAAACACCACATTATAACACGCAAATTATCAACACAATGGGCCAAGATTCTTAATTAAATGTTAATTAATAAGTAATTGTCAACCATTTTGACCCCTTATGATACCCCTTGCCAGACCCCGTCAATAAGCCGTCAAATTATGCCTAGTGATCCTTACCATCTGTCAATTTGTCAACAGTAACAATTAATGATCAGTTTAATTATCAATCAATGACCCTGAATTGACTCCGTCGATGGTTTTGGAGTGGCTTCTGACGTGTATTCGTTGGAGATAATTAATTTCATTTTGGTTCTTAATATTTTTAAATTCGTAATTAAGTTTGATGAATGTTTCTTTGTGAGGATATTCTGTTTGTTATATTTTATGTTTGTTATCCCTATGTCGTACTAAAAGGAATGAAAGTAATATATAAAAAAATGATATTATAAAAAAATAATGCATCTAATTTTGTTGTTAATATTTTCTATATTGTAAAATTGATTTTTCCTTATGGTTTTTTTTTCATTACAGTGATTTCTTGTTTTTTAAACTATGTTTTGCGCCCTAACAGGGTCCATAAATGTCATCATCATCATCATCAGCCCTTTTCAGTCCACTGCTGGACATAGGCCTCTCCTATTGCACGCCACTGGGATCGATCTTCGGCCACTCGCATCCAGCTCCTGCCAGCCATCTTGCGCAAATCATCACTCCACCTTGCCTGAGGACGTCCTACATTACGTTTGCCGAGACGCGGTCTCCACTCAAGAACTCGTCTGCTCCAACGGTCATCGGTTCTTCGGCTAATATGGCCAGCCCACTGCCATTTCAGCTTGCTAATCCGGTGGGCTATGTCGATTACCTTGGTTCTCTGCCGGATCACCTCGTTTCTGATTCGATCTCGCAGAGAAACGCCGAGCATAGCCCTCTCCATAGCTCGCTGAGTGACTTTTAGCTTGTGAACCAGCCGCACCGTCAGTGTCCACGTTTCGGCTCCGTATGTCATGACAGGTAGGACGCACTGATTGAAGACTTTCGTCTTTAGGCACTGTGGGATCGACGACGTGAAGACTTGACGCAGCTTTCCATATGCTGCCCAACCTAGCTGAATTCTTCTATTCACCTCGTTCTCGAAGTTGTTTCTACCCATCTGCAATGTCTGCCCGAGGTATACATATTTTTGAACGACTTCGAGAACAGCGCCGTGTACTGCAATCGGTTCCGGTAGTACATGTTCATTGAACATGACCTTGGTTTTATCCAAGTTCATCCGTAGGCCGATGCGTATAGAAGAGTCAGCCAGGTCATTCAGCATCCGTTGTAGGTCCTGCAGCGTTTCTGCTACGATGACGATGTCGTCTGCAAATCGCAAGTGAGAGATGTACTCGCCATTTATGTTGATGCCGCGTCCTTTCCAGTTCAGCGTCTTGAACATATCCTCCATTGCATTTGTGAACAATTTCGGGGAGATAACATCCCCTTGTCTCACACCTCGATGCAACGGTATCGGCCTTGTTTGCTGATCCTGTACTTGGACGGACATGGTGGCGGCCTCGTAGAGACATCTCATCACTTGGATGTATCGCCAATCTACTTGGCATCGCTGCAGGGACTCCAGAACAGCCCAGATTTCGACCGAGTCAAAGGCTTTCTCATAGTCCACAAATGCTAGGCACAGGGGCTGATTATACTCCTCAGTCTTCTGTATAATCTGCCGCACTGTGTGGATGTGGTCTATGGTGCCGTATCCGCTCCGAAACCCAGCCTGCTCCGGTGGTTGGAATTCGTCAAGTCTTCGCGCAAGGCGGTTCGTGATCACTCTCGAGAACAGCTTATAGACGTGGCTTAAAAGGGAAATGGGTCGATAATTCTTCAGTAGGGTTTTGTCACCCTTTTTGAAGAATAAGACGACCACACTCCGACTCCACGCCTCTGGAGTTCTCCCTTCAAACAGGACAGCGTTAAATAGCTTTTGCAGCTCCCTGAGTACCGGTTTGCTGCCTGCTTTTAGAAGCTCTGTCGTAACGCCATCCTCTCCAGGGGCTTTTCCATTTTTAAGCTGTCCAAGAGCGATCTCGATTTCGTCAATGCTGACTTCTGGCAGGTCTTCGGTGTAATGGCGTATTAAAGTGGCTCTAGAGTCCTCATTTCCGGGGTCAGGTCGAGATGCATGCGAAGCGTATAACCGGCCGTAGAAGTTTTCTACTTCCGAAAGAACTGCCGGCTTCGAGACAACGACTTCTCCACTTGCTGTGGTCAACTTCGTCAGGTGGCTTCTTCCAAGAGATTGTACGAACACTTTTGGCCCCCGGTTTTGCTCGATCGCTCTCTCGATTGCAAGGGTATTCGAGCACCGGAGATCGTGTCGCACGTGTTTGCTAATCTCTCGGTTTAGAGCCCGCTTCTCTGACGAAGTGACGGGTGGGTTTTCACGTCGTCTCTTCATAAGCCCTAAAGTCTCTTCCGAAAGCTTCGACTTCTTGCCCTTACGCTGCATTTCACAAAATCTCGTACCTTCTTCCCTGAGAACTCGAACCACGTTTTCAAGGTTCCGGTTAACGTCGGTTGTGGTTTCCAGGGCAGCAAATCGGTTCTCCAGGTTTAACTGAAACGCTTCAGATCCCATTTTGATTTGAAACAGGGTTGGTCGGAGCCTGGCCTTCATCAAGCGGACTCGTTCGGCTCTGAAGTCGATATTCAGAGAGCCTCGGACGAGTCGGTGATCGCTACCGGTATTAAACCTATTAATCACGGAGACGTCTCTGAATATGTGCCTTTTGTCCGCCATGATGAAGTCGATCTCGTTCTTTGTCATAGTGTCGGGGCTTTGCCACGTCCACTTCCTTTGGGGCTGCTTCTTAAAGAATGAATTCATTAAGAACATCCCCTCCCGTTCGAGGAAATTGACGAGCATTTGCCCCCTATGATTCCTGTTTCCATACCCATGGGATCCTACTACCGATTCACTGCAATTTTGTACTCCCACTTTGGCGTTAAAGTCCCCCATAACAATGTTGAAGTGAGTCCTAGTGGTGGAGTGGAGGGCCCTCGATATATCATCGAACATCTCCTCCACCTCATCATCGGAGTGTGCCGAGGTCGGTGCGTACACTTGGACCACCTTAAGGCTATACCTCTCGGTGAGCTTTATAATGAGGTACGCCACCCTGTTCGACACACTCGACATTTCCACAACATTGTTAGATAGGGACTTGTTAACCAGAAACCCAACGCCACCTTGGGATTTTTGGTCTCCCTCACGGAAGTACATCAGGTGGCCTGATTTGAGAGTTATCGTGTCCTCCCCCTCTCTTCGGACTTCACATAACCCTAGTATGTGCCACCTGATCTTCCCAAGTTCCACCTCTAGTTGCGCTAGATGCGAGTCAAGCCGTAGCGTGCGTCCGTTGTACGTCGCCAGGGTCAGTCTGTTGTGGTGGCCTCCCGTAGCCCGGAGATTCTTAGCACCCCCTACCCCACCGTTACCATGGTCGCCACCATGACCAGGAATAGTGGGGCTGCCGGGAACTGGGGGCCGTGGCCTTCGTTTTTTGCCCATAGGAGGTATTGCCCATAATCGCCACGCTGGGCAGGCGGGTTGGCGATCGCAGGGCGAAACTTTTCGCACCGGTAACGCTGCTGCCCGTCACCGGCCTGCGGTACTTAATTTCGCCTGTTTGTAAGGGACGGATATACCGCCGTCGGTCGGTCGCCAGAGCCTCGTTCGTTGACCAGCAGGATGCACCGCGTGCAGGTGAGGTTGGCTTGGGGCGAAAGATGGAAGTTCGCCCCCTTACATCCCCATAAATGTACTGAAGCTTTAAGCCTTGTATAACTACCACCTATAAAACACTTTGTGGAGTGCGAATAAACGATATGATATGATCCTTGAATCTTCGACTCCCCTTTTTATAAATCACGAACTACCAAAAAGCCGGCAACGCAGTTGCAACTCCTCCGGTGTTACTAGTGCAATCATGAGCGGCGCTAATTGCATACCATCAGGTGATCCGTTTGCTCATTTACCGCCTTATAACAAAATACTAGGCTTTTGTGACAACCTTTTTATTAATATTTTATTAATTTTGTACAACAAATGAAAAAAACACATGAAAAGTTTTTAATTCAAAAGCTTCATTTAGTACGCATTTTTTTTTGTTTGATCATACACACAATTTCACGTACACAAGACACGCAGACCCGGAAAACAATTAGTGGATCACACAAAGACTTGTTCCGTACGGGAATCGAATCCGCGACACGTTGCGCGGCAGCCAGTTGCCTGGCTACCGCGTCAAATTTGCAGTCATGGCATTACATACTGGAATGATTTAAGTATTTGATACAGGCATACATAGACCCTAGCTAACTAAAGTCGAGGACAAATACTAGGGTAAACAATCCCAGGGAACCCTCTAGGAACAACAAGAGCAATGTAGTTTGTTGTTTCATTGTCCTGAAACATTTTGGATAATTTCCGCGTACTGTAATGATTTAAAATAATAATCCCTTTTCCTCGAAAAATTTTTGACATTCCGTTATTTGATACCCCTGAATGTAGCGACCAATCTACTTAATTAGCTGTCGGTCTATTAATATAAAATTCCCTATTGATTGTCAATTAAATTTCCACCGAAATGGTAAAACAATAAAGTTGAGTTCTATTTTTATGCCATTATGATGCCTTCGTAATATTCTCGGCAGAATACGTTAGGGTTTTCAGAACGGTTTAAACCTTTGTGGTTTTGACATTGCAAAGACGATAACCCTATCGTCTATGCTATAAAACCTTACAATTGTCAGTTCAATAAAAGTGGGTCATTCATGCAAAATTTTGCATACAAACCCGGCCGCAAAACGTTAGCATTCGGAAACCTGATTGCTCAGCCTACATAATACAATTTTCGAATTACTTCGTCTTTTTTCTAAAAGAAAAAACCTAACGTTCGAATCGTTGCGTACTTTTCCAACAGTCCCGTGCGGATGCGCCAGTGTTATGGAATTCCGAATTTGAATCTTTAATTTGGAACCCTAATTTGAAAACTGAGCGTGAGTGCCCAGTTTTAAATTAAAGTGTGTCTAAATTAAATTGTCAAAGTTAACGTGTGTATGCCCATCATTGTTTATGGTATTTTATTTCGTTTTAATTTTATTTATTTTAAAAAGAACTTTTTTTCTTTCGCCGGACAGTGTGCCACTTTATTGATTGTAGGTACTGGAATTTTAAACAAAGTACTTGGATTTCGAAAAGACGCTGGAAGGAACTCTTCCTCCTTTTTGGTCTTTGATTCAGTTGAATCCGCTGTTAAGAGAGGAGACACTATACTTTTTGTGCATTATGTTTCTAACACTGCCTTCCCATGTCAGCCTCAAGGTCAATTAATTTCTTTGCGTCACAAGTCAGTCTTTCTATTCAGTCAGTTTATATTACTAAGTATGTGATGTTTAATATTTAATATGTCTATCAAATCTCAGAATTACTCACCAATGCACATCCTTGGTCCTTCCCCGAAAGGTAAGTAAGAATAAGGTACGATATTATTCGCGTTTTCAGGCAGAAACCTTTCTGGTCTGAACTCCTCAGGGTTGGGGAAGTACTTGGAGTCCCAGTGCATTCCAATGGCGTTGACGTAGACCACCGTGTTTGCCGGTATGGTCAGGTTCTCGTCGACCTGGTAGTCTCTTAAGGCTTTGCGGTCTAACCAGCCCATGATAGCGTATTTTCGCAGGGATTCTGGAAAATTGATTTGTTTATGTTAGTGTTAGGGTTATTTAGCTAAGTTATTAGAGAGAAAGTTTACGTAAATACTAGGAACTGTTTATGTTACTGAGCCTGGAGTTGAAACAGCCAGAGGACTTTTTTTTATAAACTTTGCCCCACTCTAGGATTTTATCCTGTGTCGTGGGTGAGTTTACAAACCTATAAATTCATATACAAATCACACCCAAACCCGGAACAACAATTCGTGGATCACACAAAGAGTTGTTCTGTGCGGGAATCGAAGCCGCGACACGTTGCACGGCAGCCAGTTGCCCAGCCACCGCGCCAACCGTGCATTCGAATGGTCGGAGGTGGAGTCGAATGGTGGAATCGAATCGAAGGTTTATATTTAAACAATGAAAAAGAAGGACATGGTTATTAATTTTCTGTGTAAAACAAAGGTTGTCTGGAAGAAATCACCTTGTGTGATAAGACCGCCCATTGTAATCACAACATTCGGTCATAGTATCCAATGTATTGCTATTTGGTGTATGTGTGCAATAAAGTATATATAAATAAATAAATAAATAAACAAAGCAAAGAATGACTTTCTTTTACGTTTATAATCACCTAGACAAATTCCCATCCTTAAGGGAGATTACTGTTTTTATTTTCCTCCTTGCTCTGCTGGAGTCCTTTTACTATATTAACTATGAAGTAATCATGTAGCCATTACTAAAGATTGCATAGAAACTTGCCTTTGATAACAGCATCCAAGTACGGCAGCTTAGCGAGACTTTCTGCGTCAAACCGTTTGCCATTCAGAGCCTTCTCAGCTTCCACGAGTTCATCGTATAATATTTTCTGAGAAAAAAAAAAGAAATCAAATATCATTATCAGCCCAAAAGGGTTTAATGCTTTTAAATGTTCGGTAGCATTAATCACCATGTTTGCGATTTCAAACTTAGGTATAATAAGAAATTATAAGTCAAGATTTTTTTTCTTAAAACATTGCCCCACACTTTTACTTTTTCCTGTGTGGTACCTACACACGTTTACACACCTACAATTTGTCATACACATCGCACGCAGAACCGGCAAAACTATTTGTGGATCATACAAAGAGTTGTTCCGTGCGGAAATCGAACCCGTGACATTTTGCACGGCAACCGTGCTCAATGGCAAAGTGCCACGAGCCCAGTAAAGTTAACATAAAAAAATGTTTCAGTATTGTATACTTTTTATCAATTTTGTTATATGTCCTCAGTGGAACAAAATATATAGTAGTTGCATTCGATACCTGGCAAGTACCTATTATCAACATCAACCTATAATAAGTGCCCACTGCTGTGCAAAGGCCTCTTCTCACACGGAGAAGGTTTGAGCATTAATTACTACGCTTACTTAAGGCAGGTTGGACTGGCAAGTACTTTCTAAGATTATTTAGATAATAGTACTATAATACGGAGAAGCAAAACATCGAACAACCAGAATAAACCTGGACTTTTAATTCATAATTATAATTATTTTGGAATCATCAATCCACAGTGAGCAAGCGTGGTGATTAATACACAAACCTTCTCCGTGCGAAAAGACGCCTTTGCTTAGCAGTGGGCACTTATAGGCTGATGATGATGGACACATGGAATTTTATACCAATATATGTATAACACCACGCAGATTAACTCATTTGTAAAATATAAGTATATGCTACATATTCTTATTGAAATATCTTACCTGGTATTTAGGATTGTAGGCAAGTTCATAAACTGTGTATGTGAGGGTAGAGGAGGAGGTGTCGTACCCTCCTTGGAGGAAGATCATTGCGTTTGAGATCAAAATGTCCAAGTCCATGTCTGAAAACAATAGATAACATAAAAAAGTAAGGAAGAAGCTGAAGATGATAGGTAATTATGAAAATATTATTATAACGTTTTTTTTAAACTTTGCCCCACACTTGGGTTTTCTCCTGTGTCGTGGGTGCGTTTACAAACATACAATTCCACATACACATCACACCTAGACCAAGAACAACGATTTGTGAATTACTTACATCAATATAATAAATCAATCATAAAAATAATAAATCCTGTATTCATTAACTTTCTAATATATCTACTTATATATTCGAATTTTTCTAGTTAATTTAAGAGATTAAAGTTCAGTAATTGACGTAAAAAAATCCACTTGTCCTTGATATAATATAAGAATGACCAACTAAGTATGTTTTGGAAAATACCTTGGTTTTCCTTTTTAGCATCAATCTTCATCTTCAGCAGAGCATCAAGCAAGTCCCTCTTCCCGTCTATGTCTTTCTCAAACCCTCCTCGTTCCTCAACCATTGCTTTGAAGACTTTTCTAAAGTATGCTACTGTATTCTTTGGCCAGAATGAAAACCTGGAATTCAGTGAAATGTATTTTTTTGTATTAAGAGATTTTATGGTGAAAACGTAAAATCATCAATAGTTATATTATCAAGAGGTAACGGTTGACGCTATACAGGGTGTAAAAAGACACTTAACGAAGCCGTTAACTACGGATACTGGAGTTCTAACTAAGTAGCTTTACACTAAAATTATCACTGGGAAACGACTTTTATTTTTAGGTATCAAAAAAAAAAATATAATTTTATTGCACGCAATGTAAAGCAAACGGGCTTCGTGTCATTGTGTGTGTAGGTTCCCAGCTTAGCATTAAAACGCTGTGATAAGTACGTAGGTCGACGTTTTACTTCGCAACAACAAAAAAATTCTGTAAAATTAAAATCCTACAGAGATGCGCGATGTTTTTTGTGCGGGTCTAGATTTGGAAAATCGAAAATTTAGGTAATGTTTGTTTGGAAAAAAGTTTTGTAATAATACTTAGAATTCAATTGCGCAAAAAAATAAAAAATAAAAATGCATCTTTGACCTTCAATATCTCGAGAACCCGTGGAGTCCGAGCTATGGTCTTAAAGAAAAAAATGATCCAAATAATGGGTAGAATACGTGGCTTTCGGCTTCGTTAAGTGTCTTTTTACACCCTGTATATATGACATAATTAATTTGTAAAAACAAAATACTAAACTTGAACAACTATCTATCTCTGGCTCTCTCTCTCTTTCTTTCTCATAGGTCAAAATATTTACCTGAATATATCAACCATTTCTGGTAAAAAGAATATTGAAGACCAGGCCATGCCTCTCCAGTGGTTGTACTTCTCAAACTCCTTGGTCATCAGTCGAAGTGGACCAGTTGAGTCCCTCGTCGATTGGCACTGGATACCAAATGATGATTCTCCAATGATGTCTGTTGCGTAATCAGCGAATAGTGGCTGGAAATAAAGTAAAACATGGATGATAATGATGAGCAATCGTGTGAGGCTTGCGTTATCAACGCTGAACGCCTGATTGATTGGACTTTGCGAAGAGATGCACGAAATTAATAATACGAAAATGAAAAACAATTGAAGTACGCTCAGCAAGTGATACATTAAAATGTGGCTAACTAGCCACACTTTTTTCATATTTGTCTCTTTTTCACTCGCAATTGAATCATGCCATCTCACTTTGACGTTCATGTGTGTATCAGTGTGTTGTTTTTGAAAATCGAATTTTGTTAAGTTAACCTGTCTACACCATTTTACTTATAATATCATTGTCTGTATCAATCAAAAAGGTGTTCCACGTGAATCTGATACACGATCTTGACTGGACATCAGACAAGCAGAAACAGCTTCAACTACGGTTCCTATAGGGAAAATAAAAAGCTAAAAATAGTTACCCTCAACTCAATGACGATGCCCTTTTCATTGTCAGAGTTGATCCTGTAGATCAGGTCTTCTACCTTGGCCTGGTATAACTCCTGCCAGCCTCGCAGCTTGGAACCAGTGAAGACTGACGTCAAGCGTCTACGGATCGATGTCCATAATGGATCCTGGAAAAGTAAATAGGAAGGTATTTTGGTGTGTAACTTATTTCCTATTGATAATGAGGATTGGACATGTAGACCAAATAAATAAATAAAAAATAATGAAAAAGTCAAAATTTATTTTGGAATGGCAAAACTATATATTCGTTTTGGATTTTGTTCTACATTTATAGATGTGACGACATAACCCATGGAGGTCCAATCCTTCTTCTTCTTCCTCAATGCCTAATTCCAAAAGACAACTCTCTTCTTACTCCTCCGGTGTTTCAGGTATCCCTGTGCAGCACCCAATACTCACCATCAGGGAATCACGCAAAAAATTATGGTGTATAAAGACTAAAAACTAACCATAAAACTAAATCCACAAATGAGAGTATCGTTTTCAGGTAATTTTATGGATTTATAGGATGATAACTCAAATTAATTTTGACTAAGTCAACATACCTATTGGAGTTTAAAAACTGCTATTTCTAAGATTTCTGTTTCATAGGAACCAAATCACATACTCACATCAACAGTAAATAAATTAAGGGCACCCATCGGGTCAGACTTTCCAGAAGCAAGCATTCTGTTCCTGAAGATATCAGCATCCTTGACGAGGATCTTTCGCGCGAGCTCAGGGTCATTAATGACCAGACCACGGCGCCAGAATACCCAGATGCCCACGTACGGAGATGACCTGTATTTCTGCTGGAGTTCAATCATCCATGTACCCTGGAAGGTCGAAGAAGAGATTTTGATTAAAAATTATATACCTACGTATTATATAAATTTGAATTTGAATGAAAACAAAAATGATAGAATAATGGCACGTCATTTCGCTTTCTGTACCAACCAACTTTATCCAAAGTTTACATTTATAAAGATAAAGAGTATGTTAGGATGGCAGTTTTTTTGAGGCGGTAAAATTTTTAGTGACTAAAACACTCCATTCATTTGAATTTTACTCCAAGCCGGGGCGCGCTATATTTTTGTGCTTCACCCGCAACCTTGGCAGAACATCAGTCCTTTTGCCCCATCCGTAAAGGTCTATTGAGTCTTTGAGGCCAGGTGGCGATTGCAGTATTTGTAAATCTATAGGAAAAAGGCGTTGGTTTTTATTATATTATATGTATGGATTATACATTATCCTATTAAAAAGCACAATTATATTTTACCACTACACAGTTGGTAGAATGTGAAGTGATATTACCTGGCTTCTACCGGAGTGGCGTTAAGAAGATAAATTACTGTCATGGATACTATGACAGAGACGAATCTGTTGCAGACAGACAATACAACATTTGGAACAGAGAAATGTATTCAAAATAATATTTATTCGGAATTTCTCTCTCAACTCTTTTTTGACATAATTTGTATTAGTTTTCTGCAGATGCACTAAATGGATGCCCTAATATTTGTACGACAAGGTTCAAAGCAAACGAAGACCTGCTTTTGGATGCCCCATAAATCCCATAATCTCCTACATTCTTCAGTATGATAGAAAAAATCGTATTAAAATATTGAGGGAAGAACCATATCATCCTGTGTGTGTGTTTCGCCGTGTGAGCGAGGTTACCGGAGGCCCAATCCCTCCTCAATCCCTAAATCTCCAAATCCCTAATCCCTAAAAGGTCGGCAACGCACTCGTAACTCCTCCGTTGCGAGTGTCCATGAGCGGCGCTGATTGCTTACCATCAGGTAATCCGTCTGCTCGTTTGCCGAGCTATTACATAAAAAAAAACCTTGTCAACTAAAAGATGAGCTATTGTAAAATTTACCCTATCAATAATCCAGCTGACGGGTGGAAGACTGCTGAAGCGCAATGATTTACCTGTATGAGAAGTCATTTAATGATTTTACTCCACAAAAAAGCCTTAACATCAATAAAATTAAATAGTACCTTCGAAAAATAGGTTCCGTTTTTACTCAAGCTACGAAATCCTTATGAAATACCCCTCGCCTAGGGGAGACGAGGTCAGGATCTAAAAGGTTAATATATTCTATTTAAACTTTCAGTCGTGGTAATTTCAGACACAATACGCGGCGTTCACTTGGGGTTTGAGGAATTAATCTGACTTATATGTTAAGAATGAGATAAGAATGCAAACAATGATATCTAAAGCATATTACATACAGTTACATAATTATCCATAAATAACACGAGAATCCGTGATAAGGAAGTATGTATATTGTTACGTGCCTGACGTCACGTTCCTGACTATGCGGGCTTGGGTTACGGGATTGGATGAAATGAAACACTAATACCGGTTTTCAGACTTTCTATTGCGCTTAAGTTACAGCGTCCACGGAGTTAAGTTATCGGCGTTCCTCTCCAGCAGAGTCCGGCCGACTGACACAACTTTGCCGTTCACGCTAACTTCACTTAACTGACTGCACTTCACTATTTCACTGCACTTCACTATTTCACTCACTTTTCTTCTTTTTCACTTCTTCCGTTTCTTCCGAATCGCTTTAGACTTAGAACTCAACTGCCAGCGGTGAGCCGCAGTTCCGCTTATATACCCCCGGTCAGGTTCTGGAACATTCAATTTCGTTATTCTTTTTGATCGTCATGCCTCCAGAACCTTCCAATAATTTCGTTATTCATTTTTATTTATTCTCCTTCTCGCTCTTTAATTTTTCACTTCTTTCACACAAATAATTCCAGAAAGTTCGACAAAACTTCTATCAACTAAAAAACTTCATGTTTACGGCGGGACTCGAACTCGGGGTCTCTGTGGTGTAACCCACACGCCTTACCGATTAGGCCAACTCGTGTTGACAAATCACGACGAAATTTACAATCTCTAGGCAACGTTTGACAACCATCCATTGACGTCATGATGTCAAAGAGTTTGAACCACTTTTCCGTCACACTGCCCTCCTCTTAGATTTGCTCGTCCCGAGCATCGTTGCTGCCGTAATACCTCGCCAACCTGTCTATATGGACAACTTTCAAAGGGCTCCTTAAAGTCTTCCGAATTCTGTAAGTAATGTCATTGATCTTCGTGACTATCTCATAAGGACCTTCCCAACTCGGTTGCAGCTTCGGAGATTTTCCCTTCCTTCTGACTGGATTATGGAGCCAGACCAATGACCCCTCTTCAAACCCAACAGAATTGGCTCGTCGATCATAGCGCGTCTTTGCGCGATCACTAGCTTGAAGACCGGCCTCCCTGATCTGCTCATAAATGTCCAACATTTTTGCCCTTAACTCGCTTATGTAATCGCCAAACTCGGTGCGAGTGTCGCCAGGTGGACAGCCCGATACAAGATCTGCCGGTAATCTCAATTCCCTTCCAAAATTTGCAAATGCAGGGGTCTTTGCGGTACTTTCATGTACAGCAGTCCGATAGGCAAGCAAGAAGAGAGGTATGTAAGTGTCCCAATCTCTCTGGTGGCTGTCAACCACCTTTGCTAAGTGTCGCTCCAATGTTTGGTTGAAACGTTCGACCATTCCATCTGACTGTGGATGATAAGGGGTCGTTCGAGTCTTATGGATTCCCAAAAGTTTACAAGTTTCCTGAAAAACTTGGGATTCAAAGTTCCGTCCTTGATCACTGTGCATCTCCAGGGGCACTCCGAATCGGGTGAATACCTCGTTTACCAACTTCGTGGCTACAGTTACTGCCTCTTGATTCGGTATGGCAAAGACCTCCGGCCATTTTGTAAAATAATCCATAACCACTAAAACGTAGCGATTGCCCGAATCAGTGATTGGAAATGGTCCAGCGATGTCTAAGGCTATTCTCTCCCAAGGCATACCAACATTGTAGATTTTCATCGCCCCTCTGCTTCTTGTTTGTGGACCCTTGACAGCTGCACAACTAGTGCATTTCCGGCACCAATCTTCGACGTCATATTTGCAATGCAACCAATAAAACCTCTCCTTGATCTTCACCAAAGTCCTCCTAATTCCCAAATGTCCTCCAGAAGATCCATCATGGAACGCTTTTAATACATCCCTTATTTTTGAACGAGGCACCACCAATTGCAAATGCTCGTCCTTGCCGTTTGTTGATTCCCATTTCCTGCACAGAAGTCCGTTATGCAGCGTAAGGCTTTTCCACTGTGCCCATAAACCTTTCGTTACCGCGCTATATTGGGCGACGTCACTCCAACTTGGCTTGTTACCACTTCGTAGCCACTCAAGTATTGGTTTAATATCTGCATCTCTTTCCTGTTCTAATTTCATCGCATCATCTCCCCATGCCTCGTCAACAGTATCAGTCCTTATCACCTTAAGAAAAGCAGTTTCCTTCTTGGCACAATGCTTGCAATCTTCCACGCATGGGCGTCTCGATAATGCATCTGCGTTGCCATGAATTCTTCCGCCGCGATGTTCGATATCAAAGTCAAATTCCTGAAGTTGTTCCAACCATCTGGCTACTTGGCCTTCGGGATCCTTAAACTGAAGCAGCCATTTCAAAGCAGCGTGATCAGTTCTGATCAAAAATTTCCGTCCCAGTAAATACTTCTTGAAATGGTGCAGAGTTTTGACTACGGCCAGCAATTCCCTCCTGGTCACGCAATAATTCCTCTCCGGCTTGGATAGTGACTTGCTGAAGTAAGCAATAACCTTCTCCTGCTCACCATCGCGTTGTGAAAGGACACCTCCTATTCCAATATTGCTGGCATCCGTATCAACTACGAATATTCCTTTCGCGCTGGGGTATCCGAGAATTGGTGTGTTACAAAGCCGTTCTTTTAGTTCTCGAAAGGCTTGCTCACAATCCTCGTCCCAGATAAAGGCACGTTTCTCCTCTGTCAATCGATGCAAAGGCTTGGCAATGTCCGAGAATCCTTTCACAAACCGCCGATAATACGAGCACAATCCAAGAAATGCCCGAACTTGCGTTTTGTCTTTAGGTGTTGGCCATTCCTTAACAGCGACAGTCTTGGCTGGATCAGTCTCAATTCCTCTCTCAGAAATAACATGTCCTAGATAATTCACTTCGCGCTTGAAGAAAGAGCATTTTTTTGGACTCAACTTTAAATTTGCTCCACGCAGCTTGTCGAGTACCTTTTCCAATTTCCTTAGATGATCGTCAAAATCCCGTCCAACAATGATGATGTCATCGAGGTAAACTAGGCAGGTTTCGCCCAGCAGTCCCACCAGCACCTGTTCCATCAAACGCTCAAAGGTTGCCGGTGCATTGCATAATCCAAATGGCATCACCTTAAATTGCCAGAGTCCCTTCCCAGTTGAGAATGCGGTCTTTTCCTTGTCCTTGGGATCCAAATCCACCTGCCAATAGCCGCTTTTCAGATCGAGCGTTGAAAACCATTTCATGCCACTCAGTGTGTCAAGTGTGTCATCGATTCTTGGTAACGGGTAGCTATCCTTCTTGGTTACATCATTCAATCGTCGATAGTCTACGCAAAACCTCGTTGAACCATCTTTCTTCTTGACAAGCACGACAGGTGAACACCAAGGGCTAGAAGAGGGCTCTATCACGTCATTTTTCCTCATATCGTCAATCATTTCTTCAACCTCTTTCTCACGAGCGAATGGTATACGTCTGGGCCTTTGACGAATTGGCATTGTATCACCTGTGTTTATTTTATGCTTCACCAAACCAGTTCGGCCAATATCACCATCGCTTCTTGAAAACACATCAGAGAATCGAAGAAGTAAATTTCTAGCTTTCATAGTCTCCACTTTTGTCAGACTCTCGTTTTCGTCTAAGATTTTCGTTACAAAGTCTATTCCCGTACTGTCCTTCTTCACC